TTGCATGCATGCCAGTTAGAGCACTTTAATTTCACTGTGAGTTCAGAGTCCAAAAAAAAATAGGAAAAGAAAACATAAAAAAAAACTACCAGAGGCACATTTAAAATTCAGCAAAGCATAGAGTACTTAATATGCCATTTGCATTTTGACGGCTTAGAAATGTCTACACTGGATTTGCTGGATCCTCTGCAATAAGCACTAAGTGGCCACTGAGCCTTTGTTTATCTGTTTCTTAAAGGAAGCAGAACCATTTTCCTGACATTTTCAGAGCTGGGTTGGTGTTTGTTTGAGATGATAAACTGGAGACTAAGGAAGCATGGCCCTGGGAGGAGCAGGTTTTTCCTGGAGGACTCTGAAGCGCTGGGTTAAGGCAGTCTTCTCACCCAGCATGACTGGCCAGCTGAAAGCCAAAATAAAAAGAGCCATTCCCTGAGATGGACATTGTCACCCTAGGTACCTGTATGATGACATGGATGGTGTGACTCTACTTTGTGAACAACCAGAGACATGAAAAATTGTGCTCTATGTGTGCATTATGAATCTAAAAGCATTCTGCTGTCATTTATAACAAATTAGAATTTAAAAACAACAACAAACAAAAGCCATTCGCTTTGTTCCCTAGGCCTCTGTGAGCAGAGATGCTTGAGACCCTGTGAATTCTGCCACCGTGTCACCTACTCTTTCCTTCCCTGGACAGGAAACTTCATCATCCTAGTATTCAAGTTTAGAAAACCTGTCACATCTGAAAAAGAAAAAAAAAAACTCCTTTGTTTACTTATTTGGACACTTAAAATCACAAACTATCAACTAAGTGGGTGCCCTAGAAGCCCCCAAAACTTTTTATTAAATTGTCTGAGTTTTGAAAAATGTAATACACTTGACCATTTTTAAAAGTTGATTTGCTAGAGAAATCATGAATACAGAGACAATACCTGCATTTTAAGGGATTCACCTCTTTAGGGAAAGATGGATTATTTGGGGGGGGGGTGTTATTCACAGGAGCTTCCTGTCTTCCTTAGAAAACATAGAAGAGGTGTGGTCCTACTATAAATGAATTGGCAAGCAAATTAAAATTCCTAGTGTCCTTTTGGTAATATAAAGTTTTTAAAAGGGAACGCATCTAGAAGCCTCCAAGTTTGGGAGGGCGTTTCTTCTTCGCTGTTCGGTTACAGGTTTTCTGTGGAAATTCAGCAAGGTGTGCGCGAATGTTAGCAATACCTGAGCATCCCCCACCTTGCTCTTCCAGCCTTGCCCAGGTGAGGCTGCCTTGGGCTAGTCTTCCTTGAGCTGTATCTTAGGGTGCTTTCCAGAGTAACGCTTGCAAATGCCTGCATTCTCCTGGCTGCACACATGCAGGAAAAGGTTGAGAAAGAAACTTTACCCAGACACCGGGGAGATTAGCTGGGATCAAGGACGCAGATCTGAGCAGGTGCTCACAGAATGAGCCAATCCACCTATTTACTACCTGAAAACGCTGAAAGCCTTCCTCATTTGCTGTGATGCCTGAAAATGTGTTGCTTCTAAGCAGACGCGCACTCTTGGGGTTCAACCTTTACAATGCCTTTAGTAATCAGAAAGAAAATGAAAATCACCGTGAATTCCTGGTTTGCTCAACGTTTCACTGAGGAGTACAGATAACTAAAGCCAGTTCTCCAAGGGTAACGGGTTCCAATGACCTCAACTGCTGCCGCCTCCAGCCTCTCACGACTCGGCAAACAGGTCACGAATTACGCCCCACGCATCAAATACTCCGCGCTTGTGTTCGCCACAGTGCAAGCGGCCACCGGGGCGCGCGCGGCGCAGCTGCCCGCGGCCGTGGCCCGCGCCCTCCGCCAGGGCGCTCCTCCCCGGGAAAACCCTACTGCGCGCAGGCGCCTCCGAGGCAACGGATTCCTAACAGCCAAGCCCCAGAACCAAGTGGCTAGCTCCTCGGCCAGAGGCCCGACCTTCGCCACCAGGTCTTTTCTTGGCACGGGGAATGGGACCCCGCCCCAGTTGCCCAAGCGCACAAACAGCGGCTCAGGCGCCGGCGTCACAGCGTCCTGCTTGGCTGCAGTTCCCTCCCGCGCGGCCCCACGCGCTCTTGACCTCGCGGGTGCAGAGGAGATGCGGCCCCGGCCCCGCGGGGGTTAATGAACAAGCGGCGCGCAACCACCGCCGCGTGGGCCAGACAATAGCGCAGTGAGCTCGCAACCCAGCGTCCAGGTCCTCTTTGCGCGCGCGCACGCGCGCGTGTACACACACACACACACACACACACACACACACACACTCGCAGGGGCCTGGGACCTTGGGCTCTACTTCTTGGCTTCTACTACCCGGATATATGGTCCCCAGCGCCCAGGAGGCACTCTCCTCTCTGGGGCTGCCCCTGCAGGCTCTGGGGCGACCAGGACTTTGTGCCCCCTCTTCCCGGTTCGCCTCAGGATCAGCCAAAGCAGCCCCCTCCACAGCCTCCCTTCCGCCTCCGCCTAAGCCTAGCGCGGCAGCCCACCCGCGTGGGGGTGGAATCCGCCCGGCACACACGTGTGCGGATTATTAAGCAGGCGAGCCAGGGCCGCTGCTGTCTCCACGCAGCAACCTCTGCTAATTGCGGGGGAAGGGAGATCCAAGTGAGCGGAACTCAGGGGAACCGAGAATGCGCTCAGAGGCCGAGTTGCCAGCCTCCAAGAAAGAAAGCCCGAGGCCTGGATGGGCCTCCGGTGCGGGGAAAGGGCGGGAAGTTTTACAGAGTTGCCTGGCAGGTGTTTCCTCTCCACCAAGGGCTGATTTGGGCAATACCTGCTCTTATGCCCCTGACCCAAGCTACTTCTCCCAGCGACACATAACCACGCACACCTCCCAGGATGCAGTCCTGTTCGCCCTCGACTTTTCCAGCTTCCCTCTCAATTCCCAGCTGAGACCAGTGAGACCAGAGGCTGCTGCCAGCTGGCCCTGCTTGGCGGATGGTGCCTGGGTAGCTGTTGGGTCCGGCGGCGGTACACAAGACAGGACCTCTTGGCCACACAGGGCAGGTGGGCAGAGGGCACGGGAAGCTCCCAACCCCAGCGACCAGGAACTCCAGCGACTAAGATTCACCATTCATCTCCCCCCGGGGTCTTGGGGTGCATCCCGCAGACACCCTTTGTGAGGGCAGATGCTTGTTTGGAGCGGCTGCTGGCGTGGAAGTCCAGCTCTGCCCCAGTCCTGAACGCAAAGGGGAGAAAAGCACCGAGAGCAGAAGCCCGCCTGCAATCCTCTCCTCCTCTCTCCAGGCCGGTCTGGAGTTTCACGGAGCAGAAGAGTCCTTCTTCGCCTTTTCAATCACCCTTGAATCTGGCCCACTGGAAGAATCAAAAATGGGGAAGGAGAATATGGGAAAGTCTGGAGAGGAAAGGGTAATTTCGTGTGGGGAACGAGCAAATGATCGTCAAAAATTTTTTTAACAAGATTCGATTCTATCCTTTAAAAAGAAAAAAATCTGTGTAGATATTCATATTTGCAGGAGCAAGACGATGGGGGTGTTGATTGACAAGGGAATCATCCAAGGAGGGTGAAAATGAGGAAACGGGGCAGCTACTTTCCAATGTGAAAATCAATCGATATTCATATTCATCCTCTCCTCTCGGTTTCCTTCCCACAGAACAGACAAGTGCACAAGCTGTTGCCAGCCCAGCGGTTGTGCAGCCTGTAGGCTCCTTAGGGCAAAGCATTCCCAACTCATTTCAAGGAGAAAACCAAGTTCATAGAGCCAGGAGCCCCAGGAAGCACCCAGAGGGACCCCTTCTCCCAGCGGACGCGGGGAGGGGGGCTAACCCTGTGCACAGTGGAAGCCCGGCCACAACTCCCTGCCTGCTTCCCCCACCTCGCCGGCGCCTGGCAACTTGCGAGGAGCAAAGTCCGGGGGAGAAGAACAGGGGGCGACCTCACAGAGGCAGCTACTGTGCTCCTTGAGTACGCTGGAGCGGGGGTGAGGAGGGGAAGGGGTTTAAGGTGCGAGGAAGCCGGCTGGCAGGAGCTGTGCCTGTCTGTACCCAAACCCTGTAGAGAATCCAACTAGCAAGGCCGAGGACTTTGCCCGGGCCGCTCTCCCAGGTGCCCTCGTCCGGGGAGAAAGTCCCAGCACCCGACCCACCATGCCCACATCTCGGAGGAGCCACAGCGCTGTTTCAGCCCAACTCGTGCTTGGCTCCTTTCTCCCTGACAATGCTCACCACCGAGAAAAGAGAATCATCTCCTTTGAGCCCAAGTGAGGGGAAGGAAAGGCGGGGGTGGGGCGGGAGCAGACGAGGGTTGGGAAGAGGGCGATGGAAGCTCATCCCAGGCATCGCGTTCCCCCAGCGGCGACGGAGAGCCACCGGGCCGTGCCGGCTGCTCCGTCCGTACCCTGCCATGCCCAGAACAGACACTTGCGTTCGCAAACCGGGCCTCCGAGGGTTCGGCGGTTTCCCCCGATACCGATCCAGCCTCTTACCCTTAGCTGCAGCGAGGAGCCCCGCACACAGAACCACCAGCGCCAGAAGCCGGAGCAGCGACTTGAATTCCCTCCACGCAGTCATGTCTGCAGATATTCCACACGCACAAGACACCGATGGCTCTTCTCAGATGCGCCCGTCTCCTCCGAGGAAAGGCAGGGCTATGAACAGAGCCAAATAATCACCAGAGAGCAAGGCGAGCCGGAGAGATCCCGGTCCTGAGACCGGCCGCGCATCCGACGCCTCCTGCAGGTCTGGGCGCCCGGCTCGCTTCCCTTTCATAGCATCGAGTCCCGAGCCACTGCAGGGCTGAGCTGCTCGGAGCGGAGACCCGGGATGGCGGGGCCGGAGCCGGGGACGAGCGCTGGCCGAGCCGGGCAGGAAGGCACCAAGGCGGCGAGGCTGCGGGAGGGGGCGAGGCGGGGAGAGGAGCGCGCGCAGCCAGGAGAGACCTGAAGAGGAGGCAGCTGGAGAGAGAGCCAGCGAGTGGGAGATGCGGGAGGGGCGCGGGGGGAGGAGAAATCCAGGCGAGAGAGAAAAAGGCGGAGAGCGCAGAAGACAGGCTGCTAGCGGCGCAAGGAGCCGCTGCCGTGGCGGCTGGACTCAACCATCCCTACCCACAGAGAGGGGAACGGGGCTGGGCTCGGCGCAATCCCAGACAGAGCCCAGCCTGGGCCCTCAGGCTCCCCGCACGGTGCTGCGCTCCATTCGGCCTGCGGCGCGTCAGAGCGCAGGCTGGAGAGAGGAGACTTGTTGGGCGCTCGGGTGGGGGAAGCCCACGCCGCGCACGGGGGAGAAACCATGTATTGGCAACTCCAGCAAACCCGAGGGCTCTGCGGGGGCAGAGGCTGGCGGGCCTCCATCTATTGATCTCGCTTTCTTTCGTAGCTGACCAGAGAGAAGCCCCCTGTGTAACTTAAGAAGGAAATGCAGGTGGAATGAAAAGGGCACAGCTCTGATCCCAGGGAAAATAACGTATATCTTTTTTATTTTATTTTATTTTGGAAATAGTCTGTAGTAGGTGACTATTTACAGGGAGTTATATTTCCCCAGTTCCTTACTTTGAGTTGTGTTAGGGTTACCCATGCACAGGATTCAGATCCAAGTGAAATTTAAAATGAGGAAGAGCTTCTGAAATTGACACCCTGATCTGGGTGTGAGAGCTGGCAGTGTAGACACACTTCAGTGAAACCCAAGATCACATTAAGTGGTGGGGAAGGACCGCAGAAAGAAAGGCAGATCTTCTTCCTGATTGTGCAAAGGGATGGAGCAGGCAGAGAGAAGCCACTCTGAGACAGCAGTGTTTGATGCCAGGAGCTGCATTTCACCCAGCTCCCCAGATGCAGGAGATCTCACGAAAGCTCCGGGACATGCAAAAGGCAAGACTTTCAGGGAAAGGTGGTGAGGTAATGGAAAAATAGAAACCTCAGGTGAGTGGTAATTTCCACAAGGGGCATTTCAAGGATTCATCCTTGTTAATCAAAAGGTTTAGGTAATTTCAGAGGATTGGCAAGAGAGGAAGGTGAAGCCACACCTTGGTGAGGAGGATCATAACCCTCTCTGGAAGCACAGTAACATACCAGCTACGCACTGGTCCCTGGAGCCACATCATGCTGGAAGGGGGGGGGGGCTGCTGTCACCATCTGGACACCACTCAATTACACCTGCATTTGGTCGAGTCAGTCTTGGGGATTTAAATAGATTGACAGATTCATAATGTGTCATATTTCTTCTGTAGATTTCTTAGACCCTTCCTGGCCCCGGTGCTGTTCTCTAGACTGCCTAAAAATGTGATGATAAATCCAGAAATGGAGGACTGCACTCTAGAAGTGGGAGCACCAAAGCAGGATTCCCTGAGTCTGCTTACAACCTGCCAGAGCAGTGGGACACACCACCAATAACACTCTTCTCTCATATTTACAGAACTCCTAAATATGAGGTGCCCGACTGGCTTCTCTGAGAGGCAATCCTAGAAATAACTTGGATTTTCCAAGGGCAGAGTCCTATTTTGTCTTGATTGTCTCTGGAGGGGGTCTAAGAAGACAGAATAGCTCAATAAAATGGGAGTTCCTACTGGAAAGCCATGGGTCCTGGTCTTAACAACCAGCCAGGCATGGAGAGGAGAGGGCCCCCCTCTGTGATTTTAAATCAGACCTCAGAGGCCATCTGTAGCTCAGTACCTGAGCAAAGATGCTTCTTTAGACCCAGTAAGTGCTCCCATGGTCTGCTTGGAGCTCCTTGTCAGAAGGCATTGATCTTCTTTGTGAGCTAAAGAGCTGCCTCTGAGAAACAGTGTCCTGTTTCTGCACTGCCATTCCTAATGACTCATGTCACCAAGAAATATTCCTGCCATTAAAAAACGTTTTGAAAATCTTACCATCCTAGGCTAGGAACCAGGTGAATTTCAGGTTATTAGGATCCCAATCAGGACCACTGAATGTTACTTGGGAAATCAAACATATTCACATGTAGCTGTGACAGCACTAGGTTGAAGTCACCCTTCATGGGGATGTGCTTCGAAACCTTCTTTAGCCACCTTCTTTCTCCAGAGTACAAAGACCCTGATTCCTGTCATCAACAAATAAGGGAATCATTTATTTTTGGCCATATCACATATTAGGATGTTGCCATAATCCGTGGTGAGCTGTCCCTTGATCATAAGTTTGAGGAGAGTGGAAAGCGGCTGCCAGATGAGAAGGTTGATTCTGTAACATGGTTGTGTTTGTGTGTAGTATTGCGACCCCCTCCCCGCGATATCAAGACCAGCTTGCTGTGGGAGAAATCATGGGGCACTGCTGCCATCTAGTGCCCAGCTTTTCTTGTTTAGGGTTTGCAGTGAAATTGCTCCGTGGGTCTCCTCTCCTATCTGATGTGGGGTTCCTCTGTGTTTTTTGGAAGACACCCACTCCAGCCTCCACTGCACATGGTGTTCTGAAAACCTTCTTGTGATCCGGCCACATATAACGCCTATTGTTATGTTACCAGAGGCTGTTTTTCCCTTTTGACTTTTAAATGGTTGTGAAAGCTTGAGATCTATTAGAATTCTCATTCCTCTTGTTAGAGTACTCCTGCCCCAATGGGATCACAGCCCAGCCGTGCAGGAAGGTGGGCAGCTCTGTGGCCCTTCTCCTTGAGTGTCTTCATGCCTGGCTCAGTGCACATCTGCATTAGGGATTTGACTTCATTTCCCAGCCTAGGCATGACGTACTGCACGGCCTCTGGATCCTGGATAAGCTGCATTAGAAATATTATTGCCCTCAGGAGTAGGGAGAGAGTTGAGGAGGACAGTGATTAAAAGCAAAGACATCCTGATACTTTAAAAAGGATAAAGACTTCCCCCAAATCAGACACCTGAAGGAAGAATGGGTCACAGAGTGGCAGCATACACATCTGAAAGATGCTGCAAGGAAAGAGGACCAGCACATGTTAAGTGAAATCACCCCAGGAGGGGACAGAAAATGTGAGTATGATGCTTAAGATAAATATGGATTTTTAGAAAAATGCCCAAATGAGAATGCTAATTAGCTAGCAAAGCTGTACATGTGTGAAAATCTTAGAGATTGTAGTATGTTGCAGGATAGTTAAATTTGTCACTGTTCGTCTTGTGTATTGTCATATGTATATCTATTATGTATTATATATGTATACGGGGAGAGAGAGAGAGTGAGAGAGAGAGAGAGAGAGAGAGAGAGAGAGAGAGAGAGAGAGAGAGGAGAGAGCGAGCTCAATGAAACAGTTGGGGGAAATTCTTTCTTGGTAAAGGTGTCAGTATGAGGGCTGCATGATTCAGGTTTCCCTAAATGCAGTGCCTGTCTTGAGAGAGAATCAAGTATGAGGAAACTTACAGAATAAAAGCAGAATTTGCGATTATCACTTACTGTTTCAGAAGACCGTTGATGATCCCATGGAAAACGTGTTTGCCTTCGTCTCCCTCCAGTGATGAGAAAAGGAGGATTCAGGGGACATGTCGGGATCACACCATACTATGGCCAGCAGCAGAATTTCATCAGGGCTTTTGCAGCATCCGAGTTGAAAACCATCCCCTGCATCTCCTTCCTGCCCCAGAGGCCAAGGGCTCTGTACGTGGCCCTGCGTGCTGCTTCATAGGAGAGCAGAGCTAGACAGCTTTGGAACCTCCATTCCTTGATGGCAGGATGCTGGCGCTTCTCAAGTGCCTATGAGGGACTTTCCCTGGACCTCCATCAAAGGCAAAGGGACATGGGACCATTTGCAACTATTTATTCAAGTAAGAATAGATTTTTACAACTCTCTACATTGGCTGAATTTATAATGTTGAAAACTTGCTGTGTTTTTCTTTAAATAACACACACACACACACACAATGGGAAACTAATATGACAAATTGGAGTCAGGAAACAACACTGAAATGAGCCCATGGGAAGGGAGAAGATTGTGGATTTTCTGCTTTCACAATTAGGTAACTCAACAGAGGGGCAGGAGGTAAAGCATAGGTGTTGATGACCTGGCTCCTTAGAGCAGGATTGCTGAGCCCAGCCCCAAGGCTCTGAGGCAGCATTATCTGGGATGGGCCCAAGAATTTACATTTCTGACAAGTTCCAAGGTGACATGGGTGAATCAGAGAAATGCTGGTGCAGGAAGTTGACTTTGGAGCCAAAAGGATCTGCTTTGGATCCTGTGTTGGCAATGTCCTAGACAAGAGACCTTAGAAAACACAAAAGCACTAACTTAGACATGTGCCTGTTTCCTCCCCTGAAATGCAGATGATGAGATTTTCCTCATGGACCTGCTGTTGGGAAAAACAAACAACACAGACACAATGCCTGATACATAGGAAATCCTCAAAAACATCATTTTAGTTTTCTGTGTAGTCGGTCTCTGAAAGGGAAGAGAAGAAGGAAGTGCAGATGGGGACAGGCATTTCCATCTGCTCTAATCCGTAATTTAGAGTAGTGCATTCTGGATTTGGGGAGAGATAAGAGCACATTCAGTCAGTGTCTCCTGGATTGCCTCAGGGTGAATCCAGCAGGAGCCCGCCCAGGAAAGCCAGGCTCTGTGGACCATGACTTTCAAGATCAGCCTGAAAGCCTGCCTCACCCCAGGTTTTCCCCTGTGCTTGTGGAACATTGGTGAGCCTGCGGAGCTCGTCTGGGGCCAGGTGAAGTGACACTCTGAATGCTCATTACTGTTTTCCTCTGGCACCAAAGAACGCTCAGGGCACAGGTACTCTGAATGCTATCAGTAGGGTTTGATGGACAAGTGGACACGTCAGTGAAGGGACCAAACTCTTCTGTTGTCCTCCAGGATTAAATATTGCCCTACAAGCACAAATCAGTGCGTCCTGCCTAGTGACTGCAGGATTACTGGAAATTGGTGGTGTTTTGCAGGGACGTCACTGAACCAGCTCTCCAAGGGCCCGTGTCTCAGAAGTGCCAGGCTCAGTGTCATTCTCTCTCTCCCTGGTGGAAAAGCCACTTCACCCCTGTGACTCAGTTTCCTATCTTTGCAACCAGAGTTTGGGCTAATGTTTATGCTGCATCTCAAATTCTGTTCTTTCCTTTTATGTCCTTGGATTTCACCCTTTTCCCATTTTTCAGCTCACTCCAAATGCCATACATTGGCACCTCTGTGTAAGTTCAGTGAGTTCTCTTTAGGAAAGTCATTCCAGGATTGAAAGACAAAAATTCATGTTAACCAGGGAAATAGTCACAAGCACACACATGTGCATACACATGCGCGTGCACACACGAACACACACACACTCTCTATCTCTGCAGTGACTTTGGAACACGCTGCATCAGTCTATCCATAAGCTTGAATGATGGTTCCAATTTCTTACATTTCTTTTACACACACACATACACACACACACACACATACAAACCGTGGAGTGATTACCAAGTGAAAAGTAACCATCCCACTCACAAATCAGCTGACCCCAGATGTCAGGGGGCAGGGGCTCTCTGTGTGTTGTAATAGATCCCAGTATCGAGGAAGCACAGCACTACGGCGTTTTCCTCCATTCGGTTTTAGGACGTGTGGAGAGCAGCCTTCCCGACACCTGGAAAGCGGCGCTCCAGTACCAGGGGCCTTTCATTTCGACGCCGGATGTGAGGCCCATCAGACGTGTCTGCTCCACTGCCCTTGGGCCTGCCAGGATGGCCAGACAGAAGGCTCGGCGTGTTAGTGTGTCTGCAGCCGTACTGCCCAGCTGCCCTCCTAGTCTTGGAGGCTTTCCAGTGTCCAGGAGCACTCTGCATGGAAGGTGCTCCTGGGGCTGGACAGCGGCTAGCCAACTCCTAACACGACCTTGTTGAGAAGGCGCGGTCCCTCACCAGCACTGCAGCAGGTAAGATGTGGGGTGCAGTGCGGAGGGGTCCCCAAAGGGCCTCCAAGATCCCGGACAGAGGTCCCCCCGGAACTCCCCCACAGCACCCTTCCCCCCACCAGGCCACGTATCCACCTGCTCTTGTCGATGTCTCATACGTGGAGAAATTATTTCTGTGGGCAAAATGTGGATTTCCACTAACCTGAGCTAATGTGTCAGTTCCTCTCTTTCCTAGCCAGGTGGCCCTGTGTGGTACCCTAGATGCAAGAATAGATTGCCTTGTTTTTAAGAGATCATTTCTTTAACTCATGTGATTGTTGTGAGATTAAGTTGATATATGGAAAATGCTGAATTTGAATTTGAAAAGAAATAAAAGATCAGTTCCTTTTTCTCTCCATTCTTTTCAGCTTTACCTCTGAATTTAAATCTATTTTGATTTTTATCCCCTGTAGGATTGTCACTCCTCTCTTATTGATTGAAATAAGAGCCTGTAAAATATTTCCTGAAATTGTGTCTGCAAAAATCTTCCCTGTTGGAAAAGAGTCTCTGAAGAGCTCATGCTCATCCTTTGAACCCCTGCAGAACCACCAGTTCCTGGTTATCCCTGTAAACCAGGAGAGTGCCACCATGAGCACCAAAATGATGGGCGACTGTGGCCACATGTCCAGCTAGCGCAGGCCACAGCTGGCCTGAGTGGCTGGGGCATGCGGGTTCTGCCCAGGAGCAGAGGGACTGTGAACCACGCCAAGCCTCTCGAGTCAGGTATGCTTCTCGGCTGGAGGAGAGAGGCTGGAAGACAAATGGACATACCTGGGGTCTTGTAAATAAGTGTCGTAAGGAGGATGGAAGCGGGAATTGGAGTCCATGCCTTGTGCTTTCCATGCTGCCTCCCCTAGGATGCCCAGGGCCTGAAGGAAAGATGCAGCTGGAAATGGTCTTGAGGGATGGAGGAGTGCCCTGGGGAGAGCCTTGTGCAGGGACGCCCACCTGGAGAATTCCAGGCACATTTACGTCTGGTGAGGAGACTTATTGAACATCTCTCCCAAGCTGGGACCCTTTGTACTGAGCTCAATGAGAATCTGTGTTTGGTGAATATGCACCATTTGACAGGTGTGGGCATCACTCAGTGGTGCTGTGGCAGAGGGGGGTGTTGAAATACAATGCAGGGTGTGGTGAGCAGGACAACAGTGGCTGCCCAGTGGCAGCACCCCCATCCTCCCCTACGTCATGGGAGCCCATCTCAGCATTCCAGGCTTCCCCGTTCCTGCTAATAGGAATGGTCAAGAGGATATGAAGAAAGGTTCCATATCAATGATTCCCAGGGAAATGCAAATCAAAACCCCAATGCGATATCCTCTCACCCCAGTTAGAGTGGCTATTGTCAAAAATACAAAAACTAACAATTGCCTGTAAGAATGCAGAGAAAGAATAGGGGGAAGGTAAAGAAGGATAGCCATCATAGAAAACAGTATAGGGAGTCCTCAAAAACTAGAAATAAACCTAGAGATGATCCACATAAACTTCTTCTGGTATATATCCCAACAAATTGAAATCAATATACCTAAGAGATACCTGCATGTCCATGTTTTCTACTTCACTGTTTACAATAGCCAAAATACGTAATCAGCAGAGCGGATAAAGAACTAGCAGGCACACACAGGTCCTCACACACTGGTGGAAACTAAAAACAGTGGTCACACAGATCACACAGGTCACCAGGGGCCAGGAGGGGGTGTGTGTTGAGGGTGCCACAGTACTGTTAGGGGACCAGTGTGACCCTCATGTTCTGTAGCAGGGGTGCACTATGACTGTCTTCAACATGGAACGATTTCTTTCAAAACACATAGAGAGGAGTTTGAAGCTTCCCAACTCAGAGAACTGAAATTATTTGAAGAGACAGAAGTGCTAATTGCCCTAATCAGATCACTACACGTGTGTACATGTACTGAATTATACCATGGTGCCCAGAAATAAGTACTTCTGAGACACATCAACTAAAGATCTCAAACATTTAAAGCATCTTTGTTAGCAAGATGTCACATGTTGTCCTACTATGTGTCCCTGGTGCCTCCTGTGCACATACCCAGGGAGACGGCCAGCGTCCTCCTGCTCCCTGTCTCTGAATCTGGGCTCTGGATGGAGGACTTGCTCTTCTTCAGTGGGGATGTGTTCATTCACATCCTGATGATGGGGAGAACATGATGTGAGACAGAAGCAGCTGTGGCAGGACTTCCCGGGGTGTCTCCCCCTCCCTGAGAGTGGCCCTGCGGACCCAAGCCCTCTCGGGATGGGGAGCAGGTGGGGGTGGGGGCGGAAGCTGTTCTGAGCAGGCACAAGGTCACCTCATCCCCATCCAGCAAGGTCGCCAGCCCAGATGCCAGACCAGGGAAGTGCTGAGGGAGGCGGAATCTCCATCTTTGCGGCCAGGATTGCTGCGCAGTGGAAATGAGATCGCGGTTCTCTCCCGCTCTCCTGGGCCTGGTGGGAGGGGTGTGAACAGACGTCCTGTTCACACACATGGGCTGGAGGACACAGCCCTGAACCACAGCTGCACAAGGGGCCCCGTGCCTCAAGTGCTCCGGCTCACCTGGGACCACACATCTTCCTCCCTCTGGGAGGAGTCTGTTTTCTTGACCCCATTCAGGTGGCCCTCCATGGAGAGGACGGGCCCTCGGACACTGCCCATCAGTGAGCGCATGTTCAGCCATGGGTATGGAGGAGAATGCAGGCCTGTGTGGCACTTTCTGAGCTCAGGAGGACAGTCTTGGGTAAGAATGAACCAGCAGTCCCCTGGGGCAGTGCCCAGCGCAGACTTCACAACGCAGCAGGAAGGGACTCTGTGAGGAGCAGGGCAGGTGGGTGACGTGCAGCAGGACTCCTGGGAGCCTGGCTGTTCTAAGAGACCAGAGACCATGAGCTCTGAAGCAACTCGGAGGATGTGTCCCTTCTTCTCCAGACCCAGGAGGCCCCCGAGGATGCAGAGCCAGGCACTGCTGCAGGTGAAAACTTGGTCGTGATTAAACCTGCTCAGCGTCACCGAGCCCTCATTCAGCAGTCAGGTGGGACCACGATGCCATGATGCCTGGAGCCCCGGAGAGAAGGTCTCCATTTCAGTCTGCAGCTGGGAACGGCCTCTGGCATTTGTAGTAAGGGAGAAAATGTCCACAGCCCTTTGAAAGACACCTTGGCCCCCAGGTGCACTGAGCTGTTCTGATAGTATACTGATCACGCAATCGGCCACTGGGGTCATTCTGAAGGAAGCTTTGCTAGAGAGATTCAGACTTCATCCCCAGGCTAATGAGCTCTTCTCCCCTCCCACTTTGTTTTGTTTATAAAGCTAATTCAGAAGATCAAAGAAGGGGCTTGATGTGGCAGCTGTCGGGAAATTAACTGAGCAGTGGGCTTAAAAGTGTGGGCGTGAGTTTAGCTGTGGGAAGATCCAAGTCACTATGTGACCAACAAGCCTTGAAAGGAGAAAGGAAATAGATATCTGTGGGTGGGGTCAGAAGTGCCGCCCAGTTGAGCCAGGGACTCCTATGAGAGCCAAGTGTACCAATTTCCTTCAGGTTTTAAGAATTTTTTCCCTGTCCCAAGTGTAACCATTTGTCATTTCCTACAACTAAATAGCAGAATCTAAATCTCATAGGCAGATTCAGTGGGATACATATATTTATGGTTAATGTGTGAGACCCTGCAGGAATTTTCAGAGGGTGATGATTAGATCCTGAGAGGTGCAAGTTGGTAGGGTGTGGCTGGAGGAGGCAGGTCCCTGGGGGAATGCCTTTTGGTTTATCTTTTGTTCCTGGTGAGCGGAGAGAGCTGCTCTCTACTTCCTGGCTGCCTTGTCCTAAGCTGTTTTCCTCCTCCACGCCCTTCCACCATGATGTTCTGCCTCACCTCAGGCCTAGGCCTGTAGATCCTACCAAACATGGACAGAACCTCTGAAACCATGAGCCAAAGTAACCTTTTCCTCCTGTCAGTTGTTCTGGTCAGGTCCATTGGCAACAGCAGTGAAAAGCTAACTAAAGCATGTTCATACGCAGAGACACACACACACACACAGGTGCACACACACCTGCTCTCTCTCTCTCTCTCTC